GAAATCTGTTATGTGTTGTGTGCAATATGAAAAGAATGATGATGCGTGTTACTCTCATAGCATGACTTTCCTAAACAGATTTGGCAAGTTCAACTGACTGGGTTTCCATAACTCATATCGTTAGGAGAGAGCTTTCCTTAATCATGCATGTCCTTGGTGTGTACTTTCATTCACCCATACTTAGTACAAGTGTGTACTAATCCCATACAATACTTTACTTTTAGGTGCAGGTGGACGCTAGAGCTAACGAGACTACGTTGAAGTTATCTGGACGTAGAGTATTCATCTGGACTTGGTAGGCCCTCATGTTTTTGAGGATGATTATCTTTTATATTCTAGCTTAGACGTAGGCATGAGCTAGTGGAGAGTGTTCCACTAGCGTTTCTTTCTTAATTATTTCAGATGTTGTATTAGGTACCATTTTGGAAACTTTATATTTATGCAGTTATGCACTATTTCCTTCATTTGAATATCACATTGTTAGATTGTTGTGGTGAATTGATGTGATATATTTCAATTCTTACTATAAAGTATATGTATACTTCAAAGCAAACAAAAATTTTAAATTTTCCGCTAAAATTAACTTATACGATGTAATGAAGACGTATGTAGGCTTGTTTGCGATCTCTGAGAGGAAACGGCAATGGTTTCGACTAGGGTCAACATCCTGGTCGTGACAAATTTATTCAAAAATATCTTTCGTACAATTTAGAATCTTCAAAACATGTATAACACAGTGTCAACCAAGACATAGAAAACAAAGGGAGAACATGCAACTCATACTTTAATGCAAGATTCCTATGATGAACAAGCTTCTAGGAACTCTTTAGTTAGAAGCTCAAGTAAGAATAGAAGGACAATGTAGAAATATCTACAACCTTACTACTCACATCACCATCCCCCACTTAGGGTAAACCCAATTAAGAGCAACTTAACCCAACCTCAAAAGGATCTTAGCTTAACAACCTTCCTTTTCATCACTGAAAGTGATTACCAACCTAAAAAGGAATTGCTATAACTCAACATAGGAACACCAAAGGCATTCTAAACCTTATCATCTATGCAAATTATCACCAATCATCAAGTTAGGTCATACTATTCAACCACATAAGGTTTCAAACATATCATAGACACCAAGGGTCACACAACATTAGGGGAAACAATATATGAGACATAGTCATGAGGCCTCTTTCTTTTATTTCAACATTAGAGTAAGGTAACTTCTATGTCAATTAAACCCACATCATCACCCTACCAAGACAAGCATGCTACCCTTACTTCTAAGATCAAGTATATACAAATAACTCCAATCCAAACAAGGCAACACATATATTTAGGCAACATGCTCATTTAGCTATTTACCCTATTTTTCAAAGCATTTCAACTCTAAACCATATCATAAGAATATCATCATGAAAAGTCATATAGCAAAACAACATTCCAAAATAGACTTATTTTATCCGTAACAACTTCTAACATGCTTTAACCATATCATGACATACATTTTTCAACATAACATGTCATTTCACATATAGCTCATATATCGCCACAAAGGGCATCACATTTTCAAAGCACACAAAAACTATCCTTCCACATACTCATAAAACCATAAAACCAAGATAAGCATCAAACTCACCTTTTCTCCCTCAAGCATAAAGATACCATCTCATCCAAGAAATCATAGGTAAAAGACCACCGGACAAGAAAACATAATAGAGAAATCTTATAGGGTTAAATTCTATGGCACGACATGAGAATGATGAAGAAGGTAAACTCTATCGTCCTATAGCCTCTCGCTCATAGAAGTGTTGCGACTCACCACCGATGATCGAAAATCCGCTAGACGTGGCGATATGAGACTTTGGTCCCTAAAACAACTTTCATAAACCTCAAGCTCTGATATCACGTTTCTCACGACCGAGGAGCACCCCCTAGGAGTAACATGGCGTACTTTACCTTTTGGAGGTCTTTTACATGCCCATAACTATCATTCATCGCATTGTCATAGGTAAATTTATGGAAAAATTTAAAACTTTCATAGCCCATCATATGGTAGAACATCACTTCCAATATATATAAATATCATAATACATAGTTAAAGACTCTAGTCTCTTTTTGTCATCCTAGACTCAACATTATTGAAGTATATTAGGGACATGGACCTTACAATATAATTCATGAGTATACGTATTACATAACTTTACAGTAAACCATGACTTAGGAAATCCTTGGACTTAAGGATTCCAATTCTTGAGCTTGGGAATCACATATCAAGATCCTCACTATTAAAGACATCCTTTAGACTTAACATAAGACTTTACTCACAATCCTAATCTAAGTCTACTAGTGCAATGTACATGTGAAACCCATAACCTAACACAAACTTAGTAAACCTATCATAAGACCACAAGCATCTAACATTCACTTCATATATTTACATGTCAAGCAAAAACAACTTCATTCTTGCCAAGCAAAACCTTCATAATATAGTCATTAAGACCAACTTTATGCATGTAGGGACAAGACGACATCATATAGACACATACCAAGCATTTCATAAACAAGTAGAGAACACTATGATGTCATGCATAAGGAACATAAACATAGTCGCTGCATTAGAACACCTTCATAGGACTTCGTTTAAGAGTCACCTATGTAATGCAAAAGTGAAGTACCATTCCCCTACCAACAATAAGCAACTACCCTTAGGTTATCCTTGTTAGGGTCTTAGCCATTTACTTCCAAAGTCCATTTTACTTTGGGGAAACTATAGCCTTAACCGACACTAATACCATGGGTGCCAAACTTGGAATCTGGTGTTGTAGAGCCTTACACCAAGGGAAGATGCTCTACTTAGCCAAAGTAGAACATTAACACATGCTATCATATTAGGTGAAATTACTTGTTATATCCTATGTGGCAAGCATAGTTTAAGGAACTTGGAGGTACATGTGGAAACCCTCTTTATGCCAAATGGGGCATTGTAGTTATCCACTTTTGGAAATATCACTCTATGCCCTTTGGGCTTTGAGAGTAACCACCTTTTGAGAACTATGGTGACCTACCTTCCTACAATGGGAACGGACACCCCTTATCTTCAAGTTCATTCAGTGCTAAGCTAAATTCCCTTTATTGAAAAGTCTTTATTAACATTACTTTATAAAATTAGGCTTTAGGAGATTGACTCCCCATATGCTTAGCTTATAGGTCATAGATGAGATTTCATCAACCTATATCATGTGAAAAACTCTTTCACATGGACATAGCATATTCAAGCACCATCTAGTTTAGGGTACTTGAGCACACCTTTCAAGGCTCCTCTATTGACTAGATCATCATACATGTGTGTGTATACTTATATGTGAGTAAACCTTTCACATAACACATTAAGGCCACACATGTTCATAAACATTACTGCATAAGTGTATTAATGAGAAATCCTTTCATATAAACACATTAAGAAACTAGGTATAATCATACTTGACATTGTAGCATATAAGACATGTTCATAAAATACTTATACATTCATATTCTTGGACATAGATAAACCAACCTTAGGAACTATCCTATCAAGTCACACATGTGCAATGCATATATAAGGTCCCATACCCTTGTCCATACTATTTCACCTATCAAGTCATCCTAGTGAATGATACATCACATAACATCATAGAATGGATAACATAGCATACGGCACATTTATTTGAGACTTACAATATCTTTACAGTAAGCTATACTCATTATGCACCTATATTAACTTTACTTCACATTAAACATTATAATACCTCATCATAGGCGGCACCTACACATAAACTTAAAATGACCATTTACATGCTCATAACATGAGCAACACAACTTAGATCATAGCTAGAATAGGAAACTATACATAGGCTTCACATAGTATGATCATCACCACCACATATTCATAATACAATTGCCTTCAAGACCATGTTCACATGTATATATTTATTTATATATATATATATATTGAAAATAAATTAACACCGCCACCATAAGTGGACCATACCACACAATGCCATCCAAGGCTTCATCAACAATAACCAATGCTAATGCAAGACACTATCCAAGTCTAGAATTTTTCTTTCAATTTGAACCAAGAGAAGACAAATTAAATCAAAAAATACGAATAACTGACTACAAGTATATCAACCAAATAAAAATAACAAGACAATAATAAATCAATCACAGAAAATACAAAGATTTACATGAAAACCCCTTCGATGTTAAGAGTAAAAAATCACGAGCCTAGAAACTCCACTATAAACACCAAGAGTTACAATATTATTCTCCAAAGTTGGCCCAGTGCCAGATAATGAGCAACAACGAGACAAGATTGCATCAAAGCAATTGAAGGAGAGAATTCACCCAAAAACGAGCTTTTGTTAATGCCCTAAATCAAACACTACAAACAACTAAATTCAATCTCCACCGTTGAATTATAAGAATCAGATACTAAAAACATCCAATTCAAAGTTTAGCATGATCCAACGGTTAACGAAACAAAAATTTTTGTCCAAAGCTGATCGGCTTAGTAGAAAATTTCCTGAAGCAAAAACAAGATTTTTCTCTCAATCTCTAAAAACGCTCTGTCTTGTGTATTTGAAAATAAGACCTAAATAAGCTTATATATGCCATACAATATTGAACTTGTGGGCTAAAGTGAATTGGTCCAAATAAAACTTTCTTTTAGTATCCACGTAGGAAGGGAAAAAAGATCCTAATCCCAATATTAAGGACTTTACATCAAATAGTATAAGTATAATATATTATTTTACCATGAAATTATTGACTAATCCATTAAGAAAATATCTCAAACCGTTAAGAGTAAATAATTTAATAATTAAAAAATTAAAATCTTCACCAAAATCATTAAACCAACAAGTCATTACCGATAAACCAATAACTTATTTTCCGGCCAATTTTGAATAACCCTACTATTAAGAATTGCCCCGCGTGCCCCTATTGCTATTTTTATGGACTGAAGTCTTGTATCCGCCCCGTGCCGTTTCCAATATCAGTCCACTTGAGTCCTCTTTCAAGAATTCAGACATTGGCACCGTGGTAATCGGAGGAGACCAGAATCAAAATCGATCGAAACAGCCGACGAAGATGGAGGAAGATCATGGAAACAGCAACAGTAGTATAACAGTGGATACAACAAAATGGGACAGATCAGTGTGGTTAATGAAGTGTCCTTTAGTTGTCTCCAAATCATGGCAGTCTCAAGCCGCAGCTTCATCTTCCTCCTCAGATTCCCCCCAAGTTGCTAAAGTTATTGTCTCTGTTGATCCTCTTCGTTCCGATGACTCATCTGCTCTGCAAGTAAAACTTTCTTTTATCTCTTCGACAATTTTCCAACCTCACAAAAACAAAACAAATTCAGTTTCTATAACCGATCTTGTTGGTAGTTTATGTGGTATTACTGTATTTTTTAGAATTCGGACATTAATTTCTTTAATTTTTCTAAAACAAACATCTGAAAGTATTTGAGGGTTTATCTGATATGTATTCATGGAATTGAGTTTTCTCTTCTTTTTCTTGTAAATAGTTGGGAGCTTAATTCATATATGTGCTTTCAGTTGTGTTTGTTTCTTCATGGTTGTTAGGGAGGTTTAACCATAACACAAAAAACTTGTATCTTATAGTGCCAATTCCTGTGGACCATGATCCTGCATCTCAGAGATGAATATCAGTTCTTAAAAGTCGGTCAATATACCTCTTAGATGAATATCAGGTTCCCTACAAACGATTCACATCTTTTAATTCCTTTTAAATGGTTTTTTTATGCATAACTAGAGTTTTAGTATGAGGCAGTCATTGGTACTCTTAATGTAGACATATATTTATATATATAGTTGCTTAGCTTTTTTGTGTAGATATATAGAGTCTGACACTGAAATTATACCTCTTTACAATGTAGTCTGAGTTCCAGTGGTCCCTGTGTACCCATTATTTCTTCACTGTTTTATCTAAACACACCTCAGCCAACCCCCCCCCCCCCCAAACAAAACCAAGAAAAAATGACGAGAGATGTTAGCAATTATTCTTTACCCTTATGACATCTTATATGATATACAGTTCACTATGGAGATGGGTGGAAATGACGTTGGAAATATGCCGAAAAGTTACTCCTTGAACATGTTCCAAGACTTCGTCCCAATGTGTGTGCTCTCAGAGACAGGTCAAGGTAAGTATCCTGTGTCTATTACTAACATGTTATGAAGTTGTGAGAAGTTTAGTGAAGATTCCTGTTGTTCTTAGCTAATTGATTTGTATTGTTTCTTAGCGAGTTAAATCAGGTTGATTGTTTCCATTTTTTTCTCGAGATGTTATTAAGTTTATCTACCCCTAGTTAACTCTCACGTTGTGGGATTGCATTGGGTATGCTTCTGGTGTTGTGTACTCTTAGTCAACTGAAGGACCTGTACAAGTTCTTCGATTAAGCTCCTCCATCTGTCCTATCAAGTTTAGTTGGAGATTTTACTCATCTATTTGCTAGCAATTGGTTTGGGTACTGATATCAGGATTCTATTGTTTGTTGGGTTATCCAAAAAACCCATATCATATATAAAAAGGCATCTAGAGGGAACTGTAAAATTATCGAAAAAGGCATCCAGAGGGAACTGTAAAATTATCGAGCTACTCCACCCATTGCTTTAAGATTTTTACATTGGATGCTTACATTCCTTTTTGTCATATCACAGTCGACCTGTTATAGTTCTCAAAACATCGGGCTATAGAGTCATTTATTCCTGCAATATAATCGAAACAATTTGAAAACTGTCCAATTGCGAATTTTGCGTAATATACTTTATTTGCTTGATGACAGTGCTTTTCTTTCCTTACATTACCAATATCGTAGTATTGAGGAATTGGTTGGTTTTTTCTCAGAACTTCTCCAATTGTCAAAGTGTTTCAGTTTGTTTTACCTAATTCATTGTCTCACCCTCTCCTCTCCTAATTGTTGTTCTTTCTGAAGGAAGAGTTACCATGGAAGGAAAGGTTGAACATAAGTTTGATATGACACCTCACACTCGTAACATGGAGGAGTACCGAAAAATGTGTCGTGAAAGGACAAATAAGTCAATGATCAAGAACAGACAAATACAGGCATGTTTCCTACATTTGATTGCTTTTCTGATAAATCAATTGTCTTTCAGTGCTTTGATTAAATCTACTGCAAAATCAGGTCATTGACAATGATCGTGGAGTCAATATGAGGCCAATGCCGGGGATGATTGGCATGATTGCATCCAGTTCTAAGGTATACGAACCATCATCTATTCCTCTAGGCATGTAGAAATCTTGCCTTTCTATTTTTGAAAATGGTTGCATTGAAATCTCTCCTTTTCTTTTATCTTTTTTCTCTTTGATTGGTAAATGCAATTCATTAATAATAAGAACCAAGTAGGTTCTGTAAAGTATTTACAAGATTAAGTACCATTTCAGATTGTGTAAAGTATTTAAAAAGTCAACCATGGAATTTGTATCATTAGCAATATCTCGCCTTTTCTTTTATACACAACTTTTTTCTCTTTGATTGGTAAATGCAATTCATTAATAATAAGCACCAAGTAGGTTCTGTAAAGTATTTACAAGATTAAGTACCATTTCAGATTGTGTAAAGCATTTAAAAAGTCAACCATGGAATTTGTATCATTAGCAATATCTCGCCTTTTCTTTTATACACAACTTTTTTCTCTTTGATTGGTAAATGCAATTCATTAATAATAAGCACCAAGTAGGTTCTGTAAAGTTTTTACAAGATTAAGTACCATTTTAGATTGTCTAAAGCATTTAAAAAGTCAACCATGGAATTTGTATCATTAGCAATATCCATGTTGTACCGAGATATTCTCGTATTCCTTTCCCTCTAAAGATCCACCAAATCACTGAAGGGATGGTGTTCCATCTCTTAGGAAACACCATCTCTTTGTCCTTCCTATTCGTTTTAGGTGCACGCTCTATAGAAGCTTCTCATTATTGTCTGTGTGGTCCAATTGACTCCTAGAATTAAGAAAAGCTCTAGATATATGAGGTGTATGATCAAGGGAGAAATAACATCTTCATTATTCTTTCTAACACTGGCAGCATCTACTGCATATATTTGTTGCCCTCTTTTTGAAAGTTTTATGTGTTTGGAACGCTTCTTTGGCCACCAACCAGGTAAAGCATTTAACTTTAGTGGTTCCCTAGTCCTCCAGATACATTATCAAGGCCGCTTCTCCACAACAGTGGCTCTTCAACTGTTGGTAGCATGATTGAACAGAAAACTTGCCTTAGAATCCCGTTCCACCTTTTAAAGTCATTCCCAGGAAAAACCGGAGGGGTCCTGTGCAGACTAAAAGTAATGAGCATAGGCTATTGGCTGTCTATTTCTCAGTCATTTATATTGTGACTAAATACTATGTTCCGACTTTGGTTATTCCTATAATCCGAGACTGATGCTTCAAAATTTTGTGCCATAGTGAATAAATTTAGGTACTGCTCTTTCAGATTTGACTGGCCAGACCGAATATCAAGCCATAGCCTCACTTTTATGCCATCTTGTACTATTGAGGTCTTCGAATGAAAAGTGTCTCAATTAGCACTCTTATATCTCCATATACCACATGTGTTGGGGAAATATGGCTGTTCTGTGATCTAAGGATTGAGAGTCCATATTTAGTTACTATTACATCCCATACAACACAAAAGGTTTATATTACCTTCTTCCTAAAACCCCTTCGTCGTGAAATCTTCAAAGCAATTTTGGTTGCAAGCTGTTACTTTGAGCCCTCAAACTCTCGATGTCGTGTTCCCTGTCTTCATACCACCAGTAGTTATTGTTGCCCATTTTAAAAAGATATAAAATTTTCCTTTCTCTACTCCCTTGACACAAAAAATCTCTTCTTTGTTTATCAATTCTTTTGCCATTGTAGCTAGCAAAGGGAACAAAAACATAGTGTAGGTGGGTAGGGGGCGTTGATTGGTTCAAGCCTATCCCAATGTGAGGTATTTGCTCTGCCAACACAAAAACTTTTCACATTTTTCCATGGTTTATTCCAATTACCAAATGTTGGTTGCTTTAGACGTATGACCAAGTGAGGATCAAGTTGGGAGAGAGTAAGGAAAAAATCTTGGAGTTGGGGAGAAGTATGTGGCTCTAGAGCTTGGGAGATTAGTAAGGATGCAAATATATGTGACTTGGACATCTAATTGTATTAGGGAACCAACTAGAGATGTCTTAGGGGTCTCGAAGGGTAACTTTTGGGACATAAAGGGGGTTGGTGGTGGAATGGAGAGTCGAGGGTAGGTGGAAGTCAAAATGCTACGAACATGAAGTTGGTGGGAAGCTAAAACAAAGACAAAAAGAGGACAAACATGGAAAGGTATAAGATACTAAGAAGTAAGCAGGGTTGGTGGTTACGATAAAAACATTTGGACACTTTTATGAAGAATTGGATATCAAAGGCAGGGAACATAAGTTGTATAGTGTTATGAAAGGTGATCGCCTTCTCGTTGAAGGCGAGGCCTCACCGCCTATTATAGGCGTAGTAATTCGATTTCAGAAAAGCGAGTAATGACGAATAGTGTTTTGGACGGCGAAAGGCAACAAAGGCCAGCCTCGCGACGAGGCGAGTGGCGAGAGACTTGCCTTTTTGAATTGAGGCACCAATTAATACCAGAATTTAAAAATTATGAAGAGAACGATAGCAATGATAAAATAATAAGATAACTGAATCAAAGGAATTAACAAAAAAAAAATATTAAAAAAATTGAAGAATAAGATAGGAGAATAATAATAACATTACTGAAAAGGAAAACTAGACAATGCTCGACTTACTAACCTTCTAACTTAAGCCTTGACCTCCATATCTTCCTATCTATGTTTTCTCCTTGGTAAGTTGTATGTCATTTATGTCCATTCTACTTACCTCTCCCCAGGATTTCTGGGGTCTACCTCTACCGCTCCTTACGCCCACTCTAGCCAAACAAGTTCCCTTCAAAATTTTGGAATAACACACGTTTGAGTGGCTAACTAGGTTTAGTATCATTTTTGGGACGACTAGGATGCCCGAAGAATGGAGGTAGAGTATAATGATCCTGTTGTAAAAGAACAAGGGCGATATCCAAAATTGCAACAACTATAGGGGTATCAAATTACTTAGACACACTATGAAGATTTGGGAGAGGGTGATCAAGATGAGGATGCGGTACTATATTTGAGAAGCAATTCGGATCAAGAGATCGACAATGTAAAGGAGATTGTTGGAACTATATAGGATGAAGAAAAGAGACTTGCATATGGTGTTCATCAACTTAGAAAATGCATACAACACAATCTCAAAGAAGGTTTTGTGGAGATGCTTAAAGTTTAGAGCGGTACCTATGACATAAATTAGAGTGATTAAGGTCATGTACGATAGAGTGAAGATACTAAAGGACTGTGGGATGAGACTTAAAAATATCCTCTTAGTTGAGCCTTCAGATGGGGCTTCCTTGGAGATAAACTATCAACCTATTTTTATTTGCCTTCGTGATGGTTGAATCGCCACAACATATTCAATAGGAAGTACCATGGTGTATATTATTTGTAAATGACAATATTGATCGAGACATATAATAAGGTAAATGGAGTGTCGCATGGAGTGCAAGTTTAGTGTCGCATAACATGAGGCATATGGGGAAGTGAGGATTGATATTCAAGTCATCCTAATCCCTAAGAGAGGAAGCTTTTAGTTTCTTGGGTCTATAATTTAAGAAAATGGGGAGTTCGATAGGGATGTGGCATTGGAAGGAATGAAAGGAAGACTCATATTCGATGTCCTGTGTGATAAGAACATGTCACCAAAACATGAAGTTAATTTCCATATAGTTGTAAGACTGACTATTTTGTATGTGGTGGAATGTTGGCTAGTCAAGAAATTCATTCAGAAGATGAAGATAGCAGAAATGAGGATGCTTAGATGGAAATGTGGACATTCTAGAAGAGACAAGATTAGGAATGAAAATATACATTGCAAGGTTGGAGTAGTCATCATAGTGGAAAAAATGTAGGTTTGAGGCTGAGATGGTTCGGTCATGTGAAGAGGAGGAACATAGATGTCCCAGTGAGGTGCGAGAGATTGGCAGTGACAAGTTGGAGGAGATAGAGTGGTAGATGGAGGAAGAATTAGAGGGGGTGATTCGATGGGACAACTCTCTTCATCTCAGCGAAGACATGACCCTAGATAAGAGAACTTAAGGTCAAGGATTAGGGTATACAATTGTGAGGCAGTAGAGTGTTTTCCCACTTCATGTTGGTGGAGTAGTGTTTGCTTCCAATACACGCAAGTGCACGTGGTCGTACAAGAATATAGAGACTCAAAGAGTCGGATGTCGAACCCATATACATTTGTGATTTAGCAATAATCTAGTTTAATCTAATTCCACAAATTTAAGCAAGTGTTGAAGTGACCAAGAGAAGAGTATGGTTGTTCTATCTACTTAAAATAAAGATTGAAAGCAAATAAATTGGTTGTGATCGCAGTTTGAGAAAAATTCCAGGGTTACAACTCTGTTATGCTGTCATGTAAAGTATTCAATTTCATTGACTCAGTTTATTTATCTAAATGTTGATTACGGGATTAATAATATGATCATGGTCTTTCGAGCCTTATAATCGTCTATCCACATTTACCTCATAACCGCATTGTTTAGCGAAGACGTGATATCCAACATAAATGTAATTAATCGTTTTGTTGTTTCGTAACCAAGCAAGGCTTTCTAGGTATATATTCCTATCTTAGATGCTAATCTATGCTTTATTTTACTTGAGTAAAACCTTACTCCTTGTATTCTAAGTTCCATCTCAATGATTCGTTTTCCAAGTTCACTAAGAGATTATAGATTTATTTTAGTGGTAGCTAAGCATTAAAATAGCACAAGATTATAAGAACACTAATGATGATGAATAAACTTTGTCAACTCAATTCAATTATTTACTAGACAATCATCTATGGCCGTAACCCCAAAACAAGGGTATTTATCTACTCATATCTACTCATAAAGAACAGAAAAGTAGAGAGAAAAAGAACCCTAATGATGTGGTCAATTCTCCATCTTGAGGCTCCCAAAAGGTGATCAACCGCCCTAAAAATGTCCGAGGGTTATTTATAGTAATGGAAACTAACCCTCAATTCTAGTTGGGCTTGGACTAGGACTTTGCAGAATATTTTTTTTAGATACACTGGTGCTGCACGCCACCCATGCCCTAGTCAGGTTAGTGTGTCACGCCATCAGTGTGCTTGCTTTTTTCATCCTCTGAAGTTTGGACTCTAGCATAGTGCGCCAAGTAGTGTGATGCACCAGCCAATGCTGTAGCTTGCTTCATTTAGAATTCTTTCCAGCTTCGATCCTAAGTATCAACATTGCATCTTTGGATTTTTGTGGGTGATTTTGTCCACCTTTTTTTAAACCTGAAATGCATCTAATCACATATTTTAGTTATTATAAAAAATATCATGAATATGAACAAACACTTACACAAGGTTATTAAACAATTATGGTCCCCAAAACAAAGATAAAACATGGGTTAGAAGAGGCAAAATGTGCGTAGAATATGTTCCCTTACTAGTATTATTACTATTATGCTAGCATTATCTTATATGTCGATATTAATACTTTAATACTATTGTTGTTTCTTTTCTTTTGGTTATCGGTAAGATATGTACTATTCCATACTTCTACCTTTTTAATATTTTCATTTTAATCTTTTAATGTTGCATTTCTGTCAAACAATTTTTCTGAAAAATGATTTTCTTGAGCCAAGACAACTACAACATACCCCGTGGAATCCCACAAGTGGGGTTGGGGCGAGAGTCTTTCGAAAACCTCTTTACCCACAAAGTCAATAAAAATCTGAAATCTATTTTACTTCAGAAAAAACATAGAACTTTTTATAATTGAATTTTGGTACTCACTACTCCCTCCCATAGTTTTTTTGCTAAAATACACAATTTCGATGAAATTATAGTTTTTCTTAGTCAACTTTAATTTAAGTTTCAAAGCAACGTTAATTGCTTTTTTCTTAAACTTTTAAACTTTTCTCATCTTTGTCAAATATAATAATGCCATTTTCTTTAACCATCTTATTTTTGGATATTATATTATTCATAAAAAAGAATAAATAGAAGTGCAACAAACAAATTGTTTGTTGTGCTACCTGC